TCTGAACATTCACACTGCTGCGGAGTTCAGTCGTTGCCCGTATCTCTACAGCGCAGCGAAACGTTCCGCTCCATACGGAAGTATCGATCCACTATCATTCTGTGCACTTCCCCTTTGATTTGATTGGCATCTTCTTATCGGACAATACATAGGTAACTATTTCATTTGAGCAACGCTTTTTTACCGATTTTTTAGCTTCTTTACTGTCGATTTCTCCACTGTCCTGATAGATAGAACCAAGACACTTGAATCCTTCGATTTGAGGTACCATTTTTCAGCAAGTTTCACGCATTTCTTCATTTCACTCTGTTCTAACCATTGAAATAGCCCAACATGCATTCCGACTTGCCCCTGCTATGACAAAGACCATTTTTTTCCAAGGTCTCCTTTTCATGCTTTCACTGCTCAGCACTACGTCATTTGCATATAGCATGCAGCATGGGGCTGTTTTCCGCAGATGGCTAGTCATCACGTCTGTCACCATCGAGAACAAAAATTATCTGTGATGAACTTGTTCGGACAGGAAATTCTTCTGTTTCATCGCATGTGGTTCGAACTACCGTTGTTACTCCATCGAACGTGCCTTTATTAAGCATAACATTATTCTGGCACCAGCTTCTTTGTAGTATAGTAAGAAATCTCATCGCCATTCGACTTACCGTCGTTGGCGTTGAACTGTAGCAAACTCCATCCGTCCGGTAGTGGCATGTAGCAGTAAATCAACGAAATCGAGCTGCACTATCAGAACTGCTGTATGCTGTTAAATAACAGTAAAGTACAAGAAGTGAACACCAAAGGTAGACCGATTCTATGGTAGCTTATGCAACCGTTGATCAAAAACCCGGCTATAGCAGTTTTGCCGGCTGTTTTGTCTGTAAGTCATAGCCTCGCGCCCATTAATTATTTAATTAGCGCACATTCATTTCATTTATGGTGGAAAGCAACATTCCAAGATGATGATCTAGTTCAAAACGTAAACTAGCAAGCTTCAAACTAAACTTAGATTTGAGTGAACGCCACGAATCGCATGACACCCACATTTCTCGCAACAAGCAACGGATGACGATCACAAGCAACACGCAAGCCGTTTGAAGTTTTACCTGTCCGGAAACATCTGAGCCATAACGGTTGCGATGACGCTGCCCCAATCTCCGCCCTGACAAACGTAAGTGCTGAAGTTCATCCTCGCCATGAGTTGGCCGAAAACTCGGGCGGCGGCGATCGGTCCGAAACCTAGTGAAATACAATCCGATGTTTACAACAATAACTAACCCTACAGTGTCGGGCGACCGTCAGACGGAACGTGGGTCACCTGGCTGACTCGGAGCATCGGACCACGCGTAGCCGGGTATCGATGGCGCGATGACCTCGAACGCGACTCGCTTGTGTGAGGATATCTTGTGGCGCGCCGGGTCGATCAGCAACGGCAGGATTTTGTAGAACTCGTAAACGGAGCCGGGCCAGCCATGAAGCAACAGTAGCGGTACGACCACGTTGTACTGTCCGTCCGGCGGTGTTGCGTGTATAAAGTGAATGTGCAGACCTTTGATTTGAGTTCTGAACTGCGGAAAGGAGTTAATGCGTCGCTCGGCCTTGCGCCAGTCGTATTTATGCTGCCAGTAATCGTGCATGTGCCTCAGATACGTTACGTTCACGCCATAGCGCAGCGGCGTGGCCTCAAAACCGTCAGTGAATCTAGTGCGCTTCAGCTTGTCCTTCAGGTCTTCCAAAACCGACTCAGCAACGGACACCCGGAAAGGGTACACGTTTCGATCGTCCGCTGATTTGTTACAACCATAATACTCGTCTTTCAATTCCGGTAAAACGGCTTGCTCAAGCACAAACCGTTTGACGAACTGATAGATCACCATAGCGATCAAAACCGAAGTCACAAACTGTCGAACTGTCATATTTCAAACCTAACACAAAAACACATAGAGTAATAGATGCGTGAAACTACATCCCGCGATTTCACGCCACAGTAATCAGCAGTCACGTTACGGGCTGCCGAAGTGCTTAATCTTGCCTCATCGATAACCGAGACAGGGTAGATGGCAGATTATTTCTGGCAAGTTTAACATTGAAACTAAAAATTACAATTTGTTAATATTCTGTGTACTTGAAACTAGGGAAAAGAGCATATCAAATAGAATGCCACAGAGAAGACCAC